TGGAAAACAAAACAGTGGCCTACAGACTGAAAATGTTCAATTTACATTCCAGTTCCCAAAAATGCTAAGAAATGCAACAACTATAGGATCATTGCACTAATTTCCCATTTCCCATAGGCACAGTGATGCTCAAGGCATTACAGCAAAGAATGTTACGTTATGTGGAGCAAGAAATGTCTGGCATTCAAGCTTGTTTCCCAAAAGGGTCACTTGAGATCATATCACAAGTCTACATTGGCTACTAGAGTGCAACAAAGAATTTCAGAAGATCAATCTGTGCTTTATTAACCACAGCAAACCATTTGACTGTGTGGATCACAAAAGCTATGTGTGGTTCTGAAAGAAATGGGTGTACCTCAGGACTGATGGGTAACCTATATTGTGAACAAGAAACTACTGTTAGGACAAAATAAGAAGAAAAAGAATGTGTAGGTAAAGGCATCAGACAAGGGTATATTTGATCTCCCTATTAAATCTGTACACAGAATGTATCATAAGGAAAGCTGGGTTAGGATAAGAGAAAAAAGGAAGGAAAATTGGCAGAAGCTCTATTAATAATTTAATTCATGCAGATGATACCACATTAGTGGCAGAAAGCTTCAACAATTGCAAGTGAAAGAAGAAAGTGTGAAAGCAGGACTGCAGCTGAACATAAAGAAAAAAATGACTTCAGAAGAACTATACAACTTTTAATGTTAACAATGAAGAAACTGAATTGTGAAAAAAATGCATATCTTGGCTCAATCATCAATCTGAAGGGAGACTGCAGCCAAGAAATTCAAAGAAGACTTAGACTTAGAAGGGCAGCAATGAAAGAATGAGAAAAGTTCATCAAGTGTAGGGATGCTTCACTGTTGATCAAAGCCAAAACTATCCAGAGTACTATATTCTTGATTACCATGTATGGGTATGAACGATGGACAGTGAAAAAAGCTGACAAGAAGAAAATAGATGCATATGAAACATAGTGCTGGAGAACTTTGAGAATACCTTAGACCAGTGATGGCAAACCTTTTAAAGACTGACTGCCCAAACTGCAAGCCAACACCCACTTATTTATCGCAAAGTGCCAACACGGCAATAAAACCTAAAAATTGAGGTTTTAGTTTAGAAAAAACACCTCACAGCAAGTGTGTGTGTGTGTGTGTGTGTGTGGCAGAGCACCGACTGGCCATGCGAAAACTTGAATGAGTCGCGGCTCGTGACGTCATCGCCTGGCGCTGCTACGCCTTTCCAAACATGCACATAGCCTCTATGTATGATGTAAATCCATGCTTGCCCGCTGGGGTGATGCTGAGGCGACTTGGCTTGCATGCCAACAGAGATGGGTTTTCATGCCCACTGTGGTACATGTGCCATAGGTTCACCACAACAAGCCAAACCCAACCCTGGTGCACTCCCCTAACCCTAATATAGGGGTAAATTCTCATTAAAAAGTGGGCAATTTGGAAAAAGCCTTCCTTGAGTAGCTTTTTCAGCACAGCTCCGCATTTCTGCCCATTCTAAACACATTCCGACCATCAAAATCATGCCAGGACACCTCATTTTTCAAACCCTAACCCATTGAACCGTTTGGAGACCAAGTGCCCAAACTGCAACCCAGAACCCACTTATTTATCGCAAAGCGCCAACACTGCAATAAAACCTGAAAACTGAGGTTTTAGTTTAGAAAAAACACCTCACAGCCAGTCTAAGCAAATTTTATATATATATATATATGTATGTATGTATGTATGTATATGTATATATATAAAAAATGTCCTTGGCAGTGCACTGACCAGCCATGCGAAAGTTCGGATGAGTCACAGCTACCGAGTTGCAGCTTGTGACATCATCGTCTCCTTTCCGAGTATGAGCATGACCCCTATGTACGCTGTTATCTGATCCTTGGCTGCTGGGGCGATGCCGGGGCAACCTGGCTCACGTGCCAACAGAGAGGGCTCTGCATGCCCCTGTGGAATGCCTGCCATAGGTTCACCACCACTGCCTTAGACTGACAGAAAGATAAACAAGTGGGTCATAGATCAAATCAAGCCAAAACAATCCCTGAAAGCAAAAATGATGACACTCAAGCTGTCATACTTGGGGCACTTATGCAGAAGGGAAGACTCACTGGAGAAGACATCCACACTAGGGAAAGCTGAAGACAGAATAAGAACAGAAAGACTGACTATGATATGGACTGACTCCATAAATGTCTCTGAGTTTACAAGAATTGACAAGAGCTCTCAAGGATAGGACATTCTGGAAGGTGCTCATTCATAGGATTGCCATAAGTTGGAAACAACTTGATAGTATGCAACAAACAACAAAGTATGAGAGCCTTCTCAGTCCTTCTAATAGTATGGAGATCAGTTAGAGTGACAGGGCCTGTTGTGTGGCATGTCATAATAACAAGGGGAACCCCCAGAAAAGGTTGACAATGCAAGTGAATTGCTTCAGTACTGAGGTGATCTTTAGTCCTTTTGGGAACATTAGTCCTGAGGCAGATGTTACCTGCTGACATTGAAAGGAGGAAAAGAGCTTCACATGATCAACATTTTGATGGCAGTGCACTCCAAAACTCTTGATGACCCTTCTCAGTGGTTTCATGTAGATGTTAAATAGCAACAGACCCCTGAGAAACTCCATGCTAGAAAATCCATAGGGTTGAACAACATTCCCTTTTGGAGATGCCCTTCCGAGTAGGAGAAGAACCTCCACAATGTAGTGCCCCCAGGAGGATACCATGTTTGATGGTATTGAAAACTACTGAGAAGTCCAGGAGTATCAACAGGGTCATACTCTTGAAACAACTCTATCTTCCTATGTTTCATCCTTTACTTCATTGTTGGAACAATACTGGCAGCTTTCACAGAGAAACTAGGAAACCGTAGCAGCTAGACTCTCTTGAAATTTATTTATTTAGTTAGTTAGTAAACTTCTATGCTGCCCCATTCGCCGCCCTAAACTTAAGACAAAGCCATGTTTGTGGTGCAAGTAAACTATGGTATGGAGCTATAACATTAACTGGGTCACAGATGCTCAGCCCAGCCTACCTCAGAGGGTTGTTAATGTGAGGATAAAGCTGAAAGGAGAGGACAATTATGTAAACCTCCCTGGAAGGAAAAAAAAGCAGGTTATAAATCTACTGAATAAATAAATAAATAAATAAAGTTTAGGCTACCTGGTAAGGTGAAATATCTTCCAGACAGGAGCCAACAAGTATTCTGACATGGAAAAGATTCTCACCTCAAATTTGGCATTAAGAGCAAAAGAAAATGGGGTAGGAAGTAGAGACCCACTATATGAAAATATTTCATTTGTTTTTGTGGACAATATATTTATTTGCATTTCCGGAGAACTGACCAAAATCCTTTGTGGATAGTGTGGGAAATTTCCAGAATTGCAAAGCAAAGTTTAATCCACTGGCCTGATTGACATATAACAGAAACCACCATGGGTTCCTTGTAGCTACTGTTTTGAATATTGGGGATATAGTGCACCCAGTAAGGATGAATTATTGGGATAGTTGAAAAGCCATCTGCAACTCTAGAACAGACCATCTGTCAACCACCCCAACATCTCATCCTTGTTGGATTCACACATATCCAGAAGCTATGGTGATGGGGTCTTGGACTGGCATCCTGGCACTCATGGGCACAACAACCCATCATAACTAATAAGCTTCAATGGGATGCAGTGGCCTGCCATGACTGGGTGAATTAGGTCATTAATTGTGTAGCACTGGATATTATTTTTTGCAGAAGGAAGACTGTAATCATTAATAAGCCAATATAAGAAGCTGAATACAGTTATGGCCTCTAGAGTGTCAGGACCTTTCCTTGCCATTGCTGAGGTATGCCACAGTTGCAGGAACTTGCACAAATAATCTTCCCAAGGGCTGGAGGATTAGCCATAATTATCTTTGCTTGTATGTTTTGCAAACAAACACACATGGAGTTGAATCAAGATTAAGGTCCATGCAGCTGGCTGAGAAGCAGACCATCCTGCTCCCTCTTTCTCCTAGCAGTAACTCCAAGCCCCTGGAAATGGTAGAAATGGTTGAGGACCCTGCTAAATGGGATAGGGAAGAGGTGGCAAAAAAGGGAATCTACCAAAATAGTAGGAACCATTAATGAGCAGAGCCCTCCCATCCAGGGAAAATTGTGTATCAAATCCCTGGTTATCTATGTTCCCATATGCAGAGGTTATACAGTATGAAAGTACATGACTTGCAAATAAAATGTATAAATAAATCAATAGGGTTAGCCATTGGCAGTTCTTTCAATCTGTAACACCGTTCTGCTGTATATCTAATAGTTCTCAGAAACCATTAGATTCAATAGTCTTGAATCTAAAAGTGATGTTCCTTTCAAGACAAGAAAGAGGGGTTTGTTATGATATGAATCAGAGTGGTTACTTCTTCCAACAGGGCTCTAGTCAGTTAGTGTTGTAAAAACCATACAGACAAAACTGCATCAGTACCACAATTCATCCTCTGGTGCTTATTCTTGCTTGTTTTCCTCATGCCCCTCACATGGCTGTCCCATTCCTGCATTGATAAAAGGCTGCAGGCAGCATCCACAGAGAAACAGCAACTAGGCTGCTCTTGCAATATCGGAACCAGTCTTTGGTTAACTTACATCCAAACTCACATGCTTTCACAAGATTAGCTACAGACTCTTCCTCAATGCCTTTGCTCCTTTCCTGAATCTTAATCTTAGAAAAGTGCTAAAGGTTCTTGCAGTCAAGAGAGAGCTGCTGTGGAGAGACAGAGGATGCCTGGAGTGAGAAGAACTCCATGTGCCAAGAGTCCTTAATCTTCACAGGGCTACTTACAGCTCATTTTGCCTGCCACTTCCACACAGCACTTGTCATTCAAGAACACCTTGCTAGGGAAGGAGCATCAGTGCTTGCCTTGCTGTTTGCAGTCACAGCAATCAGTCAGGCGCGCGCGCACACACACACACACACCAATGTCATCTTCCCAACTTCTTTCCTTTTTCTTCTCTTTCCAGCATTTGCAGCAGCAGCAGCAGCAGCAGCAATCACATCTGCCTCGACAGCACCTCCAGCAACAGCAGAGGAATCCCTATCCTGTGCAACAGGTCAATCAGTTCCAAGGTGAGAACTATGTGCTTTTTAAGCACAGCAGCTGCCTGCCTAGTTGTGTCTGTTTCAGAAGTTTTTGTGCTGGCTTTATGAACCATCTAGCAGCTTTATATAAAGAGCTTTCACCTTTCTATTATGGAAGGTCATCTTCAGGAGTAACGTGCAAGTGCAACCAACTCAAGAGGAAAGTCTGTGTGGGCCAAAATGTTAAAAAAAGAAAAGGAGCTAGTGTGACATAGTGGTTATAGAGTGTTGGACTAGAAATCAAGAGAGCTGGATTCTCGTCTCTGCTCAGCCATGAAGCTCACTGGGGGAGTCACTCACTCTCACTCTAACCTACCTCATAGCATTATTGTTTTGAGGATAAAATGGAGGAAAACATTGTAAACCACCTTAGGTTCCTTGCAAGAGGAAGAAAAGTGGGGCATTTAATGCAATAATAGAAGTGATCTTAAAAGGACCACTTAAACTGGTCTATTCTTTTCAGTGTGGATTACATGTAAGATCTTGCTGTTGGTTTGTACCTTGTCCCAGTACTGGAATACGGTGTCCAGTCCTGGGCATCAAGATTTAAGAAAGATGCAGGTAAATTATAAAGGATCCAGTGGAGGGCAACAAAAATGTTTGAGGATTTGGAAACAATGCCAAGAGACTGAGAGAACTGGGCATGTTCAGCCTTGAGAGGAGAAGACTGAGGGGGGACATGATATTCCTCTGTAAGTACCTCAAAGGCTGTCAAGATCTCTTCTCACTGATGCCAGAGTGTGGGACACAGAATAATCAAGTCAAGTTGTGACAACCCAGATTCAGGCTGGACATCGGGAAAGCTTTCTCACGGTCAGAGCAATACAACAGTAGAATCAGCTGCCTAGAGAGGTGGTGGGCTCTCCCACACTAGAGACATTCAAAAAGAAACTGGACAGCCATCTGAGTGGATGGTGTAATATGGAGTCATGCAACAGCAGGGAATTAGACTCAATGGCCCCTTCCAACTCTACTATTCTACGATTCTATGATTGTCTTAGCCTTTCAAAAAACAGTTTACTGTAAAAGGAACATGCATTAAAATAAGAATATTTAAGTTTTATTTTATAATCTTACAGATAGCTGGCATTTCTATAGTTTTAAGCTTTTAAATTTAACTTTCTGCTCACAAGATATCAGAACATGTATATTGCCTGGAATAAAAAGTCATACTATTTATGAGTTTTCCATTTTTTCTTTGCTGATTTATTTATTAGGGTGGTGCAGCTTTTTCCTGATAGTTAATGACTCAAGAGAAAAACATAAATATATGGCATACAAAAGGAAAAGAATCTGATGCATCAATTTCCTACTGCTTTCAATGCTCAATCAATGCCATGAAAATGGCTGATTCTTAATTTTTATCAATTATTATTATACTATTGTATAAAATATTGTATATTTTAGAGTGTTTTCTTATTTTTTTAACTTTGGCAAAAGCGGTAAAGAAAATGATTAAAAACCTCTACTTTCTTTTGTATTACACAGTCAAGACTATATTGAACTAGAAGTAAAACAAACTCTTGGCGTAATCAAAATTCCTGTAATTATTTTAAATAAAAGGTGATAAATACAAAAGCATACTGGTTTTCCAAAAATCAGCAATCTCACCCACCCACTCCTCCTCCTACATCCTTCCTCATCAGGAAGAAACCAAGTTCAGGTATCTGACAGGGTACCAAATTTAACAAGTATAGGATTTTCTAGCTTCTCATCATTGGTCCAAGGTAGAGTAAAATGTGTTTACAGTATTGATTTGTTAATACGCTATCCCTGTTTTAAATGTCCAGGAAAAATAACATTTTTCTTTTTTCTATAGACAGATCGGTAACTCTATAGAAAATCCATTCACTTATGCCTCCTAAGCTATAAAAAATGATTAGCCTCTCTGCATCCAACACTTCTATTTTCTTGGCTTGAGTTTTGAAAGATAATGGAAATATTTAAAGAGTTTCTCAGATGGTTAATCATCAGGTCATTGCTTGCTTTTTCCATTCTAAATGACTGAATAGATTTCTAACTAATGCTTGGGTAAGTATTAGCCTGCCTGATTCATTTCCATAGTGTTCAGTGCCAGGCTGGCTGCTAACTGAATCAGGCATCATATATACAGATAATATTATATTAGCAGTACAAACATCTGAAACAGCAGCTGTCCAGATGTTAGGATCAGACTACAGTCCTACAGACACACACGAACACATTTACACAAACACTTGATGGGAATAAGTCCCATTGAATGCAATGGAATGCATTTGCAGGTAAAAATATGCACATTTGGCTATGATTTAGCCTGTTATATCAACATGAAATAGGATGTAGCTACACATTTGCCAAAGGCTACTGCTGAGCTGAAGGTGATCTAACCTGCTGCTGATTTACAGTGTCTATAATCAGCTCGGGGAGATCAGGTGCCAAAAGAAGTTGTTAGCTCAGACCAAGCTTGTCCGCTTTGAAAACAGTCAAATATTCCTGATAAAACTCTTGAAAGGGTACATAATGAGATAGCAGGGATAAATTCCACACATGCTGAATTTGTCTGTGCATTGTTTGCATTGTTCTCTCCTTACCTGTTGCAGCCACTGTTTTCTGATAAGTTCTTCTGATTTCTTTCCATGCACTTATATAAGAAGAGAGCATGGAAACTGGCTAGATCAGCATTCCCATCCTGGTCCCTCAGATGATTAAAATGACAGTTCCTAGAATTCCTGACATTTTGTCACGATGGCTCACACCCTTGAGGGTTTAAGTCCAAAGCAGCAGCATTAGACCTTTAGTACTCCTCCTCTGTGGTCCAAAGGATCATAGCTCAGTGGTGGAGTTCCCTGTTTGCAGGCAAAAGATGGTTCAGTCTCTGACATTTGATGAAATAGGTAGGGCTGAGAAAGATTCTTGCCTGAATCAGTGCTGAGGAGGCACTGCCAATCAGTACAGACAATATCATGCTAGATATGTTGACATTGTCCAACATTGAGACTGTCCACTGTTTATATTCAGAGTTCACTCAGAATGACTGTACCAGGGAGATGCAAAAAAGCAGACAGGATTGACCTCTTGTCTTTCACAAATGAAAAATGTTGCCTGTCGCAGGGTGAAGGGCATGTGAACAAAGACTTAGTTGCTCTGTGTTAAGCACATTGATTTTTTTTTCTCCCTTTCTGTTCTAGTGACTTATTTATTTTATCCATTTTATACCACCCATTAACTGAGGATCTTTGGGCCCAAGCTAGAGGGATGTCAGTTGAACTTGTTCTTCTTCAGTTAACTACTGATTGCCTTTTTCAATATGAGCTTTGCACAAAGACAGCGTATAAGATAGAAGGCAAGCCTTGTTGTTCCAACAGCAAAGTAAAAAAGTAAGAGATGACAACAATGTTTAGGAACCAGTCATTTTTGGCATGGAACAGCCTATATATACACATAAGGCATGCCTAAACTTCAGGATCTGTTCTGAAAGTAAATGATAAAACTAATAACCTAATGATAAAACACCAGCTCCTTACCCAAGTCATTCCACTGGGCCAGACTGAAGATTGCCACTTTTTCAATAGTGTCACTATTTTGTTAGATCAGCATCCAAAAATAAATGCATCATCATCAGCAGCAGCAGCAGCTTTTCTATACCATTTTTAGCGAAAGCTGTCAATACTAACAGTGCAATCCTATGCAAGTATATTGAGAAGCATCTATTGTCTTCAATGGAAATTATTCTCTAGTAACTGTGTACTAGAATTCAGTACACTTTGCCTGTCAGGAAGTGTGCACTGGATGTCAGTTTAAGCTGCAAGTCATAAAACTCCCTAATTCGAGCACAGCTTAGAGACACTACCTGAAATGACACCAAGCCAAGTTAGAGTCAGACAGCTGGGTCACACAATCAAATAAAATATGGTGGTTCTTCGTGGTCACTCTGTATCACACATATGAACTCTGTGTCTGTGTGTATCCTTGATTGGGAAGCTTCTATAGCTGAGGAATTTTGAGAATTTATATAACTATATATTGTTAGCAGGTGCCCAGCCATTCCCTCAACCACCACTGTGGTTTCCTCATAGAGAACTACACTTTTACTCTTCGGGAAACAGTACCATAGCTTTGAGGTTGTCATGACGTTTTTTCTATTTCTATTTTCTTTTTTAATTTCACTGTATATTTTTGGCAATCATTGTTTCTTCCCTTACCTTGAAAAATGAATGGACTTGAAGGCACCTTCTAGGAGGGGTGTGCATTGTAGCAGCAAACATCTCTCACATGATGATCACTCAGTCTACTTTACCTGATTGAAGAGCGTATTGATTCATGCCCACATTGCTATACTTTCACCAAACAAGGGCTAGGAGAAACAGGTCTGACAAACCAAGGGCTTTGCTCTGTATGGTCTTTATACCAACAGTTTGTATGCAGCTGCTGGGAATATGATCTTTCACACTACTGACTTCTCTTGGACTGAGATGGGCTCTCAGATTAGGCATTGCCACTCCATCACTCTTATTACTGGGACCACTACAGTGGCTCCCAGAGCCATCCTTTTCACTTGGCCCATACTAAGTATCCATGACCAGGACCTTCCAAAAAACCTCATAATGCTATCAGGTTCTATCACTCATTGCCCTGACATGAACATTTTCAAACAGTCAGCACTGCCCCTACCATGGCAGGATGCCAGTAAATTCTCAGCCACTCTCTTCCCTGGTAGTGAGGTCTTCTCTGAAGGTGAACACCTTCCTATGCTGGTTCAAATAGTGCAATGGTCCTAGAAATCACCAACCTCTATGACTGCAACATCAAAAAGAACAGAGCATATGTAAAGAATACAAGAAAAGAACCACTTTTCTTTTAACCTGTCCAACACCAAATCCCATGATCAGGGGTCATGTTGACAATCTTACCATTTTTACAGATAGCCAGCCCTGTGCTTTGCTTCCAAAATTCTAAAATATGCTTATTTTCACATCACTATTGAGAAGTCCTTTTCTTCACTTTATGGTGGGTTGTGAAGCATATCAGTTCTGTGTCCTTCCATTTAGCTTAGTGATGGCTTTAACAGTCTTCACCAAATTCACTGCAGTTTTCTACACCTTCCTCCACATCCAGAGCATACAGGTTTACTGACACCAGATGACTGACTGTTGATAACATAGTCCAGAATGAAGTTGTTTGATTCACTCATGTTCACAATAAGACTTTTGGAAGCCCTTGGCTTTTGTATCAACCTGAAGAGTAATGTTCAGCTTCTCCCAGACCATTTAATTTATTAAGCCACTCTGGACTCCGTGTCAGGTTGGTATATCTGACACAAGATCACCTCCTGACCTTAGCATACAGAATGCAGTTAAGTACTCAGACTTCGGCTTGTATCATTCAACACCTTCACTAGGCCGGGACCTGTCTACATTTGAACTCTCAATTCTGGTGTTTTTGGATGATATTCACAGCCATCCACCAGGGCCTCCTATGTAAGGAAATGGGAAGTCCTCATACTTTCCTTCATACTACCAAAAGAATTTGATCCTTCTGTGTGTTCTTTCCTCCCTGTTCCACGTTTTCTGTTATTGCTGTTTCAAAGTGTTGAAGGCTTTCTTCTATCAGGGTTTATAAAGCTGCTATATCTGCCTATCATGTTTCAGCAGACAGTATTTCTTTTTTCCTTCCTTCCCCACTCCTCTTTTTGTTTAATCGGACAGTTAAACAGTTTCTTCTGTGATGCTTTTAACATTGCTCTTCCAGTAAAATCAGTCATTCCCCCCTTGGAACCTGTTGAAGGCCCTCCCTGGGAAACTTTTTGAATCCAGGGCTCATGGAAGGGAGCTTTCTTAGTCATCATTACTTTGCTCATTCTGCTTTATGAGTAGACTCTCCATATCTTATTTTCCACAAAGAAACAAGGCTGTTCTTCACATGGATTTTTTTTCCTTACCTAAAATAGTGTCTGACTTCCAGCTGAATCAAGGTATTGTTCTACCTGCTTTCCTATCTTCACCTATTATACTATTGGAACAACCATGTCTGCCACTGATGTTAGACATGCATCTGTTTTTTTATAAAGCAAGATTAGAGAAATTGTGAAAGTCATTTCTTCTTTTTATGTTATGGAGGACAGAACAAAGGAATCTCTCAGTAGCTGCTGGCTTAGGATCATCCAGATTTTGTGCCTGTCATATGAGCTTGTTCATATGACAGACCTCAAACATGGTACTCCAGTACAACTCCACATGTGCAGTTACTTCATCAGTGGCATTTGCTGAAGGTGTCTCACTGACTGAGCAGCTACTTGGTTAAAACTATGTACTTTCAGTCAACACTAATGGTTACATATTTGGACTCGTTTGGTTGAGCAGTGCTCTTTTCTGTTCTGCACTGGTGACAATGACCGCCTCCAGTAAGTCAGCTTGTTAATTGCCAATATGTACAATGCATGAAGAAGGCAGACCCCTTACCTGTAACTCTGGTTCTTCAAGTGGTTATCTGTGCATTTACAAAACCCACCCACTGTCCTTGCCTCAATGTCACAGATGTTTACTGTTCCTAGTACCAAAAATGGTACTGACACATTTTCCTTCCCACAATAGGTGGTCTCAGCAAAGTGAGGGAACAGGTGGGAACCCACTAACAATATGGTAGGGGAAGAATTCCTACCAAAATTCCTCAGTTACAGAAGTTTCCTAAATCAAGGCTCTGTGCCTATATGAATGCACAGATGATTGCTTGAAAAACCACAGTTACAGGTAAACAACCTGACATTTTAGCTAATTTGTTTTCCAACATGTTGTTAGCCTTTTTATGTGAAGTACATCACTCACACAGAGAGACAGAGACAGCCAGACAGAGGTCAACTCAATATATCTCCACCACATCAATTGAATAAGAATGCCTCAGTATTTCTGAACCACTATGTCATATGTATATTATGCTTTTGAAATATTTTTGCCAGTATTCAGCTGGTTGGGATGGTTTAGGTTAAGCTTAATTTACTTTGCAGGATCAACTGAACTTCCCTGCTGTTCTGCAGGAGAACATACCAAAATTGTTATTGATGGATACTGTTTACATGATAAAGTATTTCCCTTTATCCTTTGGGGCCACATTTTGGTTCCTATAGGTTATTAATCTAGTGTTTTATTGACAACATTCTCTACAGAGAATGTGTCCTCTTTTTAGTGCATTACTGGATCCCAATGGCTTCTTAACATCATAAAGAATGTAGCATGCATGTCAGAGCTAAGAACACAGTCAAAACAATATAATAAGCCCATGTAACGAATTTGAAGCTGTATACACAAATGTCTGGATTAATTGTTGGACAGGTACTATCAAACAAATTAAATTCCTTTAAGTCTTCCAAATTTCTGCAAATTCTGGTATTATGCTGAAGTTCTTTTGTATTTCTCCTTCTCCTGCATTAGGTTCTCCACAGGATATAGCAGCGGTAAGAAACCAGGCAGCTCTTCAGAATATGAGGACTTCCCGAATGATGTCCCAGAACACCAGCATGATAAGTATGGGGACAGCTCAGAACACGGCAGCAATGTCTGCTACAGGGGGCCAATCTGAGATGGGGATGGCTCCCTATAGCAGCTCAGCAAGCAGCCAGCCAGGAATGTACAATATGAACACAGGAATGAGCCAAATGTTGCAGCATCCAAACCAAAGTAGCATGAGTCTGACACACAACCCAAGCCAGGGAGCAAGACAGTCCAGCTCAACTCAAGGTGTTGGCATGGTCAGCGGCTTTGTCCCAAACATGTTGGTTAACTCTGCCATATCGCAACAACACCAGCAGATGAAAGGAGCTGTGGGACAGGTTCTGCCCAGATCACAAGCTCCCAGACTTCAAAACATGATGGGGCCTGTCCCACAAGGAGCACAGAACTGGCAGGCACGAGGGTTACAAGGTATCCCTGGAAGGACTAGCAGTGAAATTGGACCTTTCAATAATGGTGCTGCTTACCCAATGCAATCTGGTCAGCCAAGGCTACCTAAGCAACATTTTCCACAAAGCATTAGTCAATCCGTCATGGATGCAAGTGGAACAGTACGGACCCTCAACCCAGCAATAGGAAGGCAAATGTTGCAACCACTCCCTGGACAGCAAGCAACCAACAACCAAGGTCGACCAATGGTTATGCCTACAATAAATCAGGCAGTTCCCACCCTGACTGGTTTTAACCAATCTACTGCACAACAGATACCAGGGGGCAACTTTCCTCAGAGCAACCAAGGCCAGATGTATGAGAGGAATCCCACACAGGACATTTCTTATAGCTATAATAATGAAGGAGGTTCCTTTCCAAATATCACAGAGGGCACAGACCTTGTAGACTCCATCATCAAAGGTGGGCCAGGTGATGAATGGATGCAAGAACTTGATGCATTGTTTGGCAATCCATAGCACACAGTGGGGTGTATAGTTCAAAACCTTTGTGAGGTCAGAAAAAGGAAAGCAGGATGTTGTTCATCCTTGTTTCTTTGTTTTATTTTTAAAGCTGTGCAAAGCAAGCTGATCCATGTTTGTGGAGGGCTTAGCTGGAATTTAAAGCATTGACAAGAAACCCTTGCCAATGTCCCCACAGTGCTCTCAAACCATAGAACCATAGCAAAACTGCTGCAAGTGGGGATGAGAAGTGGGGTGAGGGGCTTGCAAAATCACTCCTCTCTGCTCATGAATTACAGAAAGGGCTAAACAGTCTCTATGTGGAAAAGCACTGGATGATTCGTAACAGCACACTTTTCCATGCAGTTCTACTGGCACTGCTGTAGCATTCAAGGCAAGACGAAACAGCTTGTTAATGGAGTGGAGCTGCTAGTTGACTGTTGAAGCCCTACACTCATAGGTCAGAATAGGTGCTAAACTCTGGTTGATACAAAGTTTCTTCATATACATATGGCTAATTTGTTAGGAAATAATGCTGAAGCTGCTTTATTATGGTGATGACTGGAAATGCCCACAGCTGAATGGGTTCCTTCAGTGTGCTATCAAATCTCCTTTAGAAGCAGAGAAAGTGCCTACCCTAGGTAGTTCGCCATTCCTCTGTTATCCATTTTTTCAATAACCAAGTGATTCTCAAGTTACTTTGTCCTTAAGGATGACACAGATACAGAACTCTAGTACAGGCTAAGGCTGTGTGGTATTTGTAATGCTCACTGAGGTCCACCTACCACCAAAGACAGGGATGTGAAAAGATACAGGCATTAAATGAGGAGATGTATGCCATAAGAATGTTAAAGTACTGGTGTGCACTTGTTCTTTTCCTGGAAAGGAAAGATACATGGGTGTAACTTGGGATGGGTTGGGTTGTGGAGGCTGGTGACTTGATGGTCAAAGATGTCCAACTCAAACAGATGCCCCAGGAAATCAAGTAGGAAGTCATCTAATGATCACCCAGAGAGGGGCCAGTCACATACATAAATTGCTTGGGAACTAAAGTCATTTCATCTCTTGACAAGTTGGATATAAGTTTATGCATAAAATATTCTGTACATGATAATGCTAAGCTCTTTAAGATGAACTAGCCTGTGAGAAACAATGCAAGAAAAGAGAAATTTCCCATGGAAGTAACTTCTGCTACTAATTGTACAAATGTCATTTTCAAATAGAACTATGTAGCTAAGAACTGAATTAAATTTGCTTAGACCCATACGGGTTAAGAATGGAGTAACTGATGACTATGGGAACTGAATATAGATCAATCACCTAAGTGTTGAATGCAGATTTATTGTTTAATGAAACCACTTCTGTGGCATTCTTGACCTGATTAGATGTTACTTGCAGGCAGAGGATCAAACACCTCTGGAACCTTTTCTCCCTAAGCAATCTGACTTCTAGAGGGAACATTTTGAAGTAGAGAAGCAGCAGGGGCAAGATGTATTTTGCCCTTTCCACAGCTACCTGTTCACTAACTTAATCTTCATGCTACTCCTATTCAGCACTTCCCAATAGAGGGTTTCAAATGCAAGAGCAAATACACATTTGGGACTCCATGGAAGGAAAACAGTTTGGTGGAGGCAATTTTTAAAAAGAGAAGAAGCAGGCTTTATCACCCCCTCTACTCACTTACAAGTAACTCAAAACCACATTCTCCAAAAACACTTTTTTCTGGAAAATGGGTGGGACAAGCAGAGTCCAGTTCCACCTTTCAAACCTTTTATCAGGACTGGAGCACAACGGTTTAACTAGCGTGGTTTTTAAATTCCCACATACAGCTCAACACACATCCCATTGAAATTGGTGGGAGAAATTTTATTGCCTTTTCTGTAGCGAAGCGGAGAACCGCTTCATAAAACTTCCTGCTTTCACTGAACTTTCACTGCAATGGGGAAAGAATAGAGTGCTTGACATGTGTTGAAGTAGTTCTTTGCTAACGAAGTATATGCCAGTCAAGCCGCTTAGCACCAGTGGAGTGCTGTGTCCCAACAATCCAAAGAAGGTATTAGTCCACAAACAAGGTATCATTACAGCATGTTTTAGAGGGCAAAGATGACAAAGAAATAGGCTTTACGTATGTTGCAGAAGTCAGCTGAAGATGGGAGACACAGGCACACAGAAGTAAAGGACAGGAAACAGGCATTTGTTTTCATCACGTCTTTCACAGTAAGTATAACTCTTTCCTGGAAAGGGTTACAATAAACAATCAAGTGATCATATGTCTGCTTACTCAGAAATAAGCATTATTGTATTCAGTGGGGCTTTCTTCCAGAAAAGTGTGCATAGGATTGCAACATTAAAGTGTTAGGGCTCTGAACCGCACAGAATATAATGTATTCATCACTATCAAAAAAACACAGACATTAGTGTTTGGTTTGGCAATGAAGCCTCAAAATCCCTTATATTTGTAAAGCTTCCTCCAAATATTTTAAACTGGGACCAAGTAATTACAAATAGATAAATCAAAATGTACTATGGGGAAGGGTTTTTTTTACACTATGGTGCTGATGTATATGAAATGTTTAACAAAAGAATTATTTGTAAATATGTTTTTACAATCCTGCAGATATAACTGGGTCTAATCTGTAATATAAATATATATATATATATAATAAAATTATATAAATATATATATATATATGTTTGTTTAAAATAGAGTATTTTTATTTCATTCTTTAACTCATCCTCACTGCAGTGGTATTGCACTTCAGATGTCTAATTACTAATTTGTACTGTATCCTTGCCAGCAACTTGCTCCATTTTATTCAGATTTTTCTAGTTTATTGTTTTTTACTTTGTACATTGAACATTGCTTATTTTCTTTTGAGAACTGTACAGAGCTCTGGAAAAAAATGTAGAAAAGAAGTAATAACATCCCAATTTTAAAGAAAATGAAAATAAAAGATTGTTATCTGAGTTAGTTTATGTCTGCTTTTCTTTAGGTTTCTCTCTTATCATACATTACCTTCCAAATGGTATCAACTGCTGATAAGGCTGACTCCGTCATTCTTTGGACAGAACCAGGATTAAATTTCTCATATGCCCCTGTATAGGTAATTGACCTATTAGAATGGTTCCTCCCCCCCCCCCCCCCCAAAAAAAAAGACTTATGGATCCAATACATTTCTAGTCAGCCCTAGGGGGTTCAGTTGTGCCAATGATCTCATCAAGTCTCTTGTCACAAAATAAAATTGGGAAGTGACTAAGGCCTTAGATGCAATTGCTCCTAAGAGTCCTCTCTGTCTGGCTTCCATAAAAGCTCCCTGGTATACAGAGGAACTCTGATGTATGAAGCAGGAAGGATAACAGCTGGAATGCCAATGGCAGAAATCTAGACTCATCTCTGACAAAACACTTTACAGAAAGCATCTCTGCTCCTATAGGGTAGTGTTATGAGCAGCAAACAAGGGTTTCTTCTCTGCTCACATCCTGTCTGCAAATTCATGTCAGCAGAGCTGTTTAGGATGGTAAGGCACTGGTCTCAAGCCCCAATGCCCACTAACTTATCCTTGGCATCACCAATTGCTGATTGTGATACTTTTAACAACCATTTTGATGATTAAATTTCTCAGATAAGAGCTGAGCTTGATGCAACGGTGGAGATGGAAATCAACACCAAGGTGACCAGCAACTCCCTGAATAGGGTTATCTTGAATCAATTTCAGTTTGTAAGTCCTGATGTTGACAGATTGTTTGGATTGGTGAAAAAAACCACTTGCCCTTTCAATCCATGTCTGGACTACCAGCTATCCATGCCTGGTAGTCCAGGAAGTGGAGGCATTGTGTGAACTATTATGTGCTATCATCAACACCTCCTTCAGAGAAAACCAAAGGATTCTATTGTGTGGCCCCTCCTTAAAAAACCTAAAACAGACCCCCGGACCTTAACAACTTTCAACCAGTCTCAAATATACCATTTCTTTGTAAAGTGACTGAGCAGGTGATGTTTTTCCAACTCCTGGCAGCCCTGAGTCATATTGACTTTCTGGACCCATTTCAAACTGGCTTCAGAGCAGGATATGGAGCTGAGACTGCTTTGGTTGCTCTAGTAGATTATCTACAACACAAAACTGAGAGGAGTGTGTTCCTGTTGATTCTGTTGGATCTCTCAGTGCGCTTCAATACTATAGAATGCAGTATCCTTCTGTATTGTCTGAGGAAATTGGGAATTTGAGGCAATTGCCTTGCAGTATTTCCATTCCTTGGTTCAAGATAGTGATGCTTGAAGACTATCATTCCTCAAAGAAGGAGTTGACTTGTGGAATCCCACAGAGCTCCATTTTGCCTCCAATTCTGTGTAACATCTACATGAAGCCACCACATGAACCTACTGGGAGAGATTATCCAGGGGAGTGGTACTTGGTATTATCAATATGCCAGTGACACCCAGATCTATTTCTCCTTACCATCAACTGCTCAGACCTATGGCACTTCCCTAACTGCATAAAGGAAAGGCACATGGTATTGTCCTCTTCCAGGCATTTTCCACCTGAGAAGCCACATAAACAATTGCCATTCAGAAGCAGCCCCAAATTAAAATCTTCAGCATATATAAAAAGTATATAAGAATTGAGCTGCTGTTGCCGCCACATAACCTCTCCATTGCAGCTCATCTGCCCATATTCTTTTTGCAAAGCTCTTTCCTGTATATAAACCTTTCATGTGCATTGGAATATTGAGTTCAGCTTTTTGCTCCATGTGGCTTTTAGTATTTTAAAGGTGCATTCTATGGATCACTCCAAAGTACCCTGGCATCATTTCAGTTCTATATTGCCCGAAGCCAAAGCTCTCTGGACAATTTTACTTTAAAAACCTTGATGTTTTAAAAATACATAAACTGTATCTGCAGAAATGTCTAAACATATAAAACAGAAAGAAAGACATATATCTAATAATAATTTCAAACTATCGACTAAAAAAAGCTGCCAAAAGCCAAAGAGAAGATGGTCATAACCTGATGCTGAAAAGAGCACAATATTGGCACAAGGTGGGCCTTATCAGGAAGATTATTCCATAATTGGGGGTGACCACTAAGAAGGCTTTTTTTCCCCTGAATGCAACCTTCTATGCCTCCTTTGGAGCAGGTACCTGGAGGGCAGCCTTATATGATAAACATACCATGTCCAGGTTCGTGCTGAGAGGGGTGCTCCTTCAAGTACTGCAGTCCTGATTCATGAAAGGCTTTATAGGTAAAAACTATCACACTGAATTGGGATTGGAAACCAAAAGCAGCCAACGGAAGTGGGCTAAAATCAGTGCTATGTGATCAGACCCACAAATCCCTGTTATTAATTTGGCCACTGTGTTTTACACTGCAGCTTCTGAACCAGCTTCAGAGAGAACCCCCCACCCTGTAGATCATAGTGCAGTAACTCAGAGAACTCACAACTATCCCTGATCAGATAGGGGTGTAGCTGGGCCACCAACTGAACTTGGTAGAAGGCATTCTTTTCCACTAAGGCCACCTGAGCCTCAAATGGCAGAGATGGATCAAGGAAGACACCCCCCCACCACCACCCCCCGCTACAAATTACATACTCTTTCAAGGGCAGTGCAATCCCATCCAGAACAATTTGAACACACACCCTGTAGTTAGAAGAGCCACCTTCTAGCAACACCTCAGTATTGTCTGAATTAAGTTTGTTTATTATCTATTATTTGGTTTACTGATGCAACCAGGCATCAATCTAGTATACTCACAACCTCACCTAGTGATGGCTGAAAGGAGAAATACAACTGTGTGGTGTCTGCAACCTGATGAAAATGCACTCCACAATTCCAACTTAATAGTTTTGTGTAGATGTTAAATAGTGTGGGGGGAAAAAGTGAGCCCTACAGCACCCCATTAGGACAAGTAGTGTCCCCCTATTCGAACTAACCATCTGAGTAGGAATGAAACCACTGCAATGCACTAACTCTGACACCCAACCCTGATAACCACCACAGAGGGATATCATAATCCATGGTGTCAAAATCCATCCAGAGATCAAGGAGAATCTCCAATCCTTATTCGAATTACATATTGCAATCTATTTAATCCTTATCCTACCCCATAACTAAAGATCTCTGAGTGGTCTATAGCATTGCATCCTTGAGCTGAGCCAGCTCATCCAAGAAAATTGGACAAGGCTATGCTCTCAACACCTTACTGATTTACTTTGGATTCTAAATGCAGTGGTTGCAAGAGATGTCATCCTAGAAGTGCCTAGCAAACGTCTCAGCAGATCTCAGATGAGCTGAAATTTTTGTCTTGAAATATCTGAAGGGCAGAAGGACAGGGATGTGAAGATTGCCTTTGTTGTTCCTCCCACCCTGCACTGGATAAACAGACATCTCCAATTTCAGGAAATTCTGATCACCAAGGGTACAGCCAACAGGACTGCACCCTAAAGATCATAGATATGAACTTATTTTTAGGATGTTATCCTCTCACCCTTTATCTACTGTTGGCACTGTTTAAAAGGCTTAAAGTGTTTTTAAAATGTTTTTCAATTGCTGCATATTTTATTTGAATGTCACCTTGGGGACTTATCTGAGCCAAATATTGTTCATAAAGTTATTAATAAATAACACTTTGCATGAAGAAAATCCCAGGTTCAATATCTGGCATTTCCAGTCACCAAAGGTACTGGGTGATAGAAAGGTCTTGGGGTCTTATAGCATTCCATAACCAGTCTGAGACCTTGAGAAAGCAGGCAATTCTGGGCTAAATCTGTAAGGTAGTTTCCTGTGCAGGATATTTTGAGCTGTCAAATACACTGTCTCTACTTAACAGGCTGATGGAGGTATAACCCTAAGGTAGCTAAGACTGATGGAACTAGCAGCCCAACAACACCTGTAGAGCCACACATTCCCCACCCCTGCTGTAAAGGAGTAGCAGCATCATACCCATCACAATTACAACCTCATCCCTTCATGGTTGCACTCCACAGAAAATGTTTAAAAAGTAAAAATGTATCTATTCAAACATTCGAAAATCCCTGACCCTCAGCAGCACTTACAATAAAACAGGCCACAGCCCGTGTCTGGTACAGATAGTTTTATTTTATAGCTTTGCAAGATGGAATTTTACAGTGTATAAGTTCTATGGGAGTTCAGGCTGTTCAGTAGTCACAGAACTGGCCTTGATTCTCTACTGAGTATACATATATTAGCATTTGTGTGACTGACTGCAGCATTCTTTTCTTTTCTGTCCTTTTCTCTTCCCCAGTTTTTCTTAACAAGGATGTTTCTTCTCTCATTCTTAACAATTTCATGGCTGGTGCTGTTTCATTGAGAAAACAGATCGTTCCTAAGTTGTTTTATGGGGAAATGTGGAGGTCTTCTAAGCCACTGTGAAAGTCATATTTTCTGACCCAGCATCCTGTCCTTAAATCTCCAATGGCTGAACTGCTAAAGAACATTTGCGCATGTTCAGAGCTCATGTATTCTCAAGCATCTTACAGAACTTGACATAGCCTAGTTAAAGCAAGTACTAACATTTTATATAATTGAGTCATTATAGATATATAGCCAGCATTCCTGCAGAATTCCTTAAGCAGAAGTTGTTTGAAGCAATGAAGTCAAACATGT